TTTGATCCGTACTAGATTATATGCTCCTCTTAGATCTATTTTTGTATAGATCTTAGCTTGATTTAACTGGTCAAGGAGTCCTGATATCAAAGGTAATGGATACCTGTTCTTGATTGTGATCTTGTTGAGTCCTCGATAGTCAACACACATTCGTAAAGATCCATCTTTTTTCTTTACGAATAAAATTGGAGCTCCTGCTGGAGATTTTGAATGGCGTATGAAATTCTTCGCTAAATTCTCGTCAATATATGTCTTGAGTTCAGCCAACTCATCTTGCGATAAACTGTAAATTGGTCCAAATGGTGGCTGAGTTCCTTCCTTGAGATCGATTGAACAATCGTATGGGCGATGCTCAGGAAGAATATCTGCATTCTTTTTTTCAAAAACGTCTTGATAATCCTGATATTGACTTGGAATGCCACTTGAAGTCTTTACGCTTTCAGAAATAGGTGCAGCATAAATAGCAAAAGTTGATCCTTCTTTTGCTGCGTGTATAAATACTTTTGCACCTATAGGTGTGAGTTTTACTATACTAGACTCATGGTTTTTTACTTGGTTAATAGAACTGTTACTAATGCTCTGAGGAAAATCAAGTTTACGAGAAATCCAATCTATTCGAGGATTATACTTTTCTAACCATGATAAGCCTAAAATTACTGGATTAGAGGGAGATCTAATTATATTAAAAATTACGCAACTACTATGACCATTTATTACTATATCTACAGGAAGTGTTTCGTGAGTTACATCTCCAGAAGACAACGGACGACCATCTATGACTTCTACGTGTACAGGTTTAGTTTTTTGTATTAATGATATTCTATGACATCTAGCAAATTCTTCATCTAAAAAACAAGATGAGGCTCCTGAATCTACCAAGGCAGAGGCTTTGTAATTATTAGGTCCTAAACGCACATCTATTATAAAACAAGGAGATGGTTTTGAGGAGAGGATAGGACTTTTATTAGAAGTTGTACACGATTCCAGCCGCACGGTCCCTATTGTAGCTGGACGTACTCGTTTTCCGACATACTGTCTTCTTTGACAGCCGTACTCCTCATTTTGTAGTTACGTCGCTTCTTTGGACAATGTTGAGCAGTGTGCTTAGATTCTCCACAATATAAGCACAATCCTTCTTGTTGACGACGAGACTTTTCTTGCTCAGTAAGAGGTTTGAAACGTACCGCATCAATTTGCATATCCTCTACTTCCGAAGGTATGTGTTGAGGAGACGTCGGTGTTGCCATTGAATTGTAGTAACGTTGAGGCCCACTTGTGCGACTCTCGGATCGAAATTCAAAAAGTCGATTGTCGCACTTCACAGCAAAGTCAATTGCTTGACTCAATGTTTGAGGATCAGGTAGATTAAGCATCAATTTCTTTACCTCATATTGTAATCCGTAGAGAAATTGACTCACAAGTGCGACATCATCCCACTTGATATCAGTTGCAAGTTGTCGAAATTGTGAAGCATATAATGTTACTGATCGATTGCCTTGTCGCAAAATACGGATCTTGTTGGTTGCAACACGAATTGCATCATGTTCTCCAAACATGGATCGAAACTCCGCCAAAAAAGCCTCCAGATTATCCAATATTGGATCTCGTCGTTCAAGAAAAGATGAAAACCATGACAATGCTGAACCTGAAAGAAGTGTACCAATGAATCTTACTTGTGACCCTGGAGTTGGATAGCTCTGGGGTTGAAGTTCAATCACTAGTTGGACCTGATTGATGAATCCTCGAAACTTGGATCTGGTACCATCAAACTTCTCGGGCAAGGCAACTCTCGGTTCTCTAACACTCGAAGGGTGTTCCATTCTGGGAGAAGGGACATGGTTTGGTGCAGATGTTGAAGCAGCCCCAATCATCTCTATATCTTCACTTCCTACCATTCTTGTTGCTCCTTGTGGTGGTAAATTGAGTTGATGCATCGCAAGCATTAACTCCCTCAATTGTTCTTGCATCTGTGCCATTGCACTCTTCATTTCAACAAGCTCTGCCATAGTAGCACTTAGAAAAGAGAAGATGTCTAACAACGCTCAAAACAAATAGAAGAGAGGAATTGATAACAAAGAAAATACTAAGAACAATATCAATTTAAAAGAGGGTAATCCGCAACTTCTAATGCGCTTATGTCTTATCAAGAAAAAGGGGTAATCCACTCTTAATCAAGAAAAGACAAAGCTCTGATATTGTAAGTGTATTCTTGTCAATCTGTCAGGGACAAGAACTCGATGAAAGCTAAAGAGTAAGTGAGACTTTTCTCAAAAAGAAATAGGACAAAATAGAAATATGTATATTAAGAAAGAAACTGGAATGGCTATTGCCAAAATACAAGAAAACTAGAGGCCCTTGAAACTAGACTAGAAGCAAGAAAGGAGTTGACAAGAGTGAAGAGGGCTTCACTCTTGCCTCTATATATACTATCTAACTAGAAGCCACGTGGCGATGTTCTATAAGACCTCCAATATATGTTGACTTTCTAGGCCACATGCCTTTGCTTGCAAGGCAAGTTTTCTATGGATGGACCACGTAGTTAGCTTGTTCTTTAAGCTTCCAACATGCGTGGCACATGGCTAACTTGTTGACCAAGTTTCTAACCTAAAAGTCAACTATAGACTCCTATAAAGTCAAAGCAACGTCTATGAAGCTTCTAAGAAGCTTCTCTAGAAGATATTACACAATTAACCTACTTTTACATACTTTTATCTATTCATATAGGTAATTATATGTATGTCCGTGACATGCAATACTTGAAATTACATAAAAAAATAAAATTTGTTCAGCACCAATTGGAACTTTATAACCGAATTCTTATGCAACATTATTCTTTAAACATCTTCTATTGTTATTTAAAACTTTTTCTTGTTTTATAGTACATATTTCATTCAGACTTCAAAATTATATTGTTTTTACTTGTGCCTTATTAGACTTTTGAATTCCTATTTATTATCTTAATTGAAGATTAGTTAGTTGTTATGAATAACAAAGAAAAAAATAGAAAAAAAATATAATAAAAATATAAACAAAAAAAATACTAATAAGATAACAAAACATAGAATCAAAAGTTGGAACAAAGAACAAACAATTAATATATATTTTCAAAGATATTTTTATTTTTTATTTTTATATACATATAGTTTTGAATGTACTATTATATTTGAAAAAAAATTATGAAAAAAAATGACCACTATATACTTCAAGTAATTATTAAATAATAAGATGTAACTTATATTCACATAAAAAATAGATATAAATTATTGTCATTGATATATATCTACTATAATTGTTACCTAAGTGATATGAATAGGTAGAATTAAGTAAAAGTAGATTACTTTCATATTACCTTCTAAAAAAGCTTCTTTGAAGCTTTGTAGACGTTGTTTTGACTTTACATATGTTTGTAGTTGATTGGTAGGTTAAAAACTTTGTCAACAAGCTACACATGTGCCACATGTGTTGATAGCTTGCAGAACAAGCTAATTATGTGGCCTCCATATAGAATTAAAATGTTTAATTTTTTTAATGAGTTTTTAATTTTTTTCATATATATACATACATACATACATACATACATACATCAAATTATATTTATAATTTATATAGTTGATTTTAATGTTAAAAATATTTAAAGACAAAAGGGTTGAAGACTCACTAACATATCCATACAAAACTAAAATAAGATAAGAATTGTATTTACTTTAATATGGTAGAATAAAGCTAGAACAAGGCAATGGAGGCACCAAAGATTTAATACATTGTTCAATTTCTTGTATAAAGTTGGCAATTAATAAAGACTTGAATATTTCTTGACCTTTTGCAGATGGATATCCGTAGAAAGACATTTATGCACAAAAAAAAAAAACTTTTTAAATTGCTTGTTTATCATTCCTTATTCACAGCTTGAATGAATACAAAAGAAGAGTGAAAAACGATTAAAACTATACAAAACAAAATTTTATATCAAATTAACTTAATTTTATTTTAGTTGTTGACAAAAGTTGTCTCCTAATCTAGTAACAAAAACTATACAATTCTAACCAAGCATATTATTCCCATCAAATATAATTTAAGCTACAGAAACTCACCACCATAATACCAATATCGAAAAATGAATTAACTCTATTTTTGGGATATTCCATGGAGGGGCAACAAGAGCAAAGCTGTGGAGAATTAGGATTAGGGTCTTCTGTCTCCGTGGTTTACACAACCACCAGCGACTACAGAAATCTCGCTGCTCGCTGCGATGGACATGAATTGATTGCATCGCCGACCTCGTGGTGATGGTGGGTGGTGGTGGTGGATGGCGCTGCTCGGGAGCTACCGCCGACGGAATGCTTCAACCCAGTTAATTTGATCGTACATGATTGTCGAGTGATTTCCAGCGTTTATTGGACCATAATTTTTATGATGGCTAATGAATTCATTGACAACGCTGGCTCCCTGGAGAATGTACTCGCGCAATTCGACAAGCTGGATGCCACCAGTAACCTTGGAGAAAGAGAGGGAGGGAGGGAGAGATAGATTGCTTTGTTACTGCGTGGAGCTCTTGGATTACGTCTCAGATGATGAAGGCATTGCGAGAGTAGAGATCGATCGCATTGCACATGAGTTTTCCATTTCTTTGCGGAGTGAGCTTTTCAGTGGGGCCGACGTGACCCAATTTCGCATTCCAGCTCGTTCCTGAAATGGAGGCTTGTGGAGGCTTTTCTTAATATGTGTTATCAAAACTGGTTACCATAACCTCCGAAGCTTTTGTGTTGAGAGTTGTGCCGATTTAGAGCCTGCACTCACCTCGACCCAGATCCCACAACGGTTGCTCATGTAGTGCGCACCGCCATACCACTTCCACTGTTTCGACGTGTATTCAGAAACCCTAATTTCAGTCAGTTGCGTTTATTGTTCCCGTGCCGACAATGTCATATTCGTTTTCTTCTACTGTTCGTAATGCTAAAGACTTCTCCTAAAAGCTTTTTTTTTTTCCTGTCCTCCGAGCATCTCATCAGCTTTGTTGATTCCGTCCTTACATCTCCTTCGGATCTCCATTAAAATCACACCATACCTCCTTGCTTCACGTTAAGTTCACCTGTTTATGGAATCATACCATTTGTGGCTCGTTACGCCAACAAGTGATCCCCTCCACCTTCAGAGGCCAGTTCCAAGGAGCATCATCCTGAATCATGTGCACATGTCCACGACACACTGCAGCGAATCCTCGGTATCTTTAGCAGAACAAGACGTCTCGCCATTCCTGCGGGGGTGGGAGTCAACCGTGAACACACACAACTGTCTTGAGAGATGGCGTTAAAGAGTACCTGAGGTAATAAAGTGGAGGCAGAAGTGGAATGAGAAGAAGGGGAAGGGAAGGGATGGGGACTTGCACGCTCCTGTCAGCATACATATTGGGTCCAATAGAAAAGATTAGCAGACAATCGTGATCGTCGTAAGAACCATCTTTTAAGCGCCGTAGCGACCAGAGGTATTGGGGAGTTACTAGGCAGCGACTTGCTTTACCTATGTAGATCACGAGTTACCGGTAGTAAAGGGATTCTGCGGGTGGCAGAGGCCTGGTCTGGTGATGATGAGAGCCTCGTGCAGCACTGCTTGCAACCCAAGCACTCGTTGCTGCACGCAATCCTTGGCCGATTGCAATTCCTCATTATTGGGTTTTCTTTGAGGGACCGCGGGGAGTGTCGTAGCGGAAGATAGAGCGAGTAGTGTATACGTGCGGGGAGGAGAGATCACAGGAAAGTGGAGACGGATGTGGGTATGTTGTGTGCGGATTACTTTCTTGGTTGCCTTGGGAGGTTTGAACAGGTGGTTGTCGATTGGGGGTGTATATGTGCACAGAGGCGGAAGGAAGCTTGAGAGCATTTTGGCATGTCGTATGTGTATGTGTTGGTTTGGTGGGTACGTGGATCATCCTCTGGGTTTCATGGCTAATTGGTTACGTTACGACGGCTTTCTTGTGGGTGAGGATGTGAGAATGGGGTGGGTGGGCCTGAATCGTGCAGCGGTTCTGGAGATCGTTGATTAATTTTGTTTAATAGGAAATGTGGTAGAATGGATGCAGGCGAGGGGTGGCTCATACGTCTGTTTTTCCTGTTGATGTGAAGGGAAGGACTGGTTACATGTCTTTAGATGTTGCTTGCTGGGAGTTGGAAGCATTGGGGAGGATTAGGATGTCATTTTTTCGCTGTTTTTTTCCTTATAAAGCTTGCAGTCAAGGTCAAGGCAATTGTCGATTGGCGATGCTATAGTCTCAATTGTTCTCTTGCTTTACTTCTATGGGATTTCCATCGGAATCTTTTCCGAGGCAACCACAAGCATATTCTTACGGACAGCCTGAAATACCGAGGGCTTGACAAGTCGCGATGTCGCTTGTTGATCGTACAGATGATGCGTGTAATGTGGGGGTGTAAGTGACTGGAGGTGGAAGAGTCACAGATCTTAATTACAAGCTTGTCTTACTCTTTTTGGGAGCTCGCGTGGTGTTTGCGATTTGCACACAAGCAAGCATGTTTCGATATAGGGTTTCTGCGTTGAATTTTAGGTACACTATGTGCGCAGAGTGAAGATGTCTTCGCAATGAGAAGTGGGCGAGTTGTGTGGCTATTGTACAAGGGTCTACAAAAACATCGCGCGTTTGATCTCCACAGCTGCTACTATGTCATTTTTAGGGTTGAGCTGTATATTGAGGATTAATCAAAGAATACCTTTTGAGCGCCTCAAAAATTAGCAAAATATAGCTTCTATACTTAATATTTAGCAAATCATGACTTCTATATATTCATGTCCCTGTATACACACTTTTACTTTCTGGTTCCAATTTTGGACTGTCACTGCATGTGTACACAAGTGAAGCCTGATCAACATCAGCTTTCATTTCTCAGAACAGGCCCTGCGTGGTGAATTGAACTTCATGGCTCACGCAATGGTTATGAGACTCTTGTAACTCATTGTTAAGAAACTTCTTGATGAGGCGTTCCACAAGGAACATAAGCTTGAAGGAGCTGATGTCGTCCAGACAGAAGGGGATGAAAGTCCAGGTGAGACCATTGTGCCCTATTTTAGGTATATCGCGTGAAGTTATACTTCATAATATACGATGCCGTGCGAGGATACTTTTTTAATGAGAGGGCCGCAAACTATGTTTACTCCAATCCTTTAGAACATCAACTGCTTGGTTCATACCCCGAAGTTTGGTTCGGAGGCTACAAAAATGATTCTGCGCTTTTACTTCAGACTTTTCAAGAGGATGTTTGCAAAACCTAGCCTTCTCTTCTGTAGTTTGGAGGAGAGGTCTGCACTGAAAAAATAGGTGGATCTGAATTAACGTTCTAATTTGGCATACTTGTCGCTTAGGTCCTTAGCAGTTTTGAGGTCACGTTGTCAACGATGTAGTTAATCCCTCGCATTTTCTTTATTGAAGATGCTTACTGCCTAGGACTTTTCACTTATTGCAGCATGTGAGAGAAGAATTGTTCTGTCTAATTTGCATTCTTTATATTATACAGACACGGTCAGCCATGGCATCTGAGTTTGGTTCTAGAAGACGTAGAGGAGTAAAGCAGGACGAACCGCACCAGGGTCTTATACCTGCCCTTCCAGATGAGCTTGCACGTCTTTGCTTGGCACGAGTACCACGTGCTCAACATGCACTTCTTAGTGCAGTTTGTCGAAGTTGGCGACTTCTCTTGCAAAGTCGTGTTTTGTATGACATCCGACAAGAGCTTTCACTAGCTGAAGAATGGCTCTTTTTGTGGACTCAGGTACCTTTTCCTGCATAGCTTCTCTGTTGTTAGTACCTATGTCAATACTTTTAACCTAAACTTCCCGTCCTTCGCTCTTCCCTCAGTCATTGCTTTATTTCTTTTATCTCTTACTCGTCACCTGATTTGCTTGATTTTTTGCATGTGACAATATTTCTTTTATTTTATTGCAAAGGAAACGTGTACCAATTAAAACCAAGCATAAACTCGCGACTCCTATTAGTGTTTTGAATCGAATCAATTAAGAAGCTATCGCCTCATTTTATTATGGTTTTAGGAGTTAGCTAGATTAGAAATTTGATGATGCAACAAGCCTCAAAAGTAAAAGTCAATCTCCTCTTCTGGATTAACGTAGCTGGTATAGTTCCAGCTTTAGTTTTCTAATTGAAGAGTGGAGTATCTTAAAAGAATGAAATAATGGCCTCAACTCTACTTGCTCTCATGTCTTCATTAGGATATGTCAAGAGCCAACGTATGGCATGGCTATGATCCACAATCGAATCGATGGTTTGCTCTCCCGGCTATACCAAATGAACAGCGCACTGCTGGAAACTCTGCCTCTGCAGTAGTGGATGGTAAACTTTTTGTGGTAGGAGGACAACTGGACAATGGCAATGCATGCAGCCGTGTTTCATACTTTGATATGCAACTCTACTCCTGGAAATCTGCAGCTCCTCTGATTATTCCACGGGCCAAATGCATGGCAGGTCAACCTTTCTCAGGAATTTCAGTCTATTATTATGATCTAGTTGTATATATCTAATATGTAACTTAGATTTTCTTAAACCGATGATCCACAACAAAAGCTCTCGCGATGTCGTCGATGTCAATGTGTGCGGTGCGCCCCATTATGTTCTACACGATGTTGTGATCACATTTACAATCATCATTTGTCAGCAGGTGTTATCAACAACCAGCTGTATGTCGTCGGAGGATTTACAGAACGTGACCAAGATGCAGGACCAACTGCCGAGGTTTACAACCCGGCAAAAAACGAATGGCGCCGCATTTCGTCCATGAAGATCTCTATGGAGCTTTATGACTCTGCCGTTCTTGATAACAAGTTTTATGTGGTGAACTCTTCCAGCGAGAATCTGGTTGGGCTTGTTTACGACCCAAAGCAAGATGAATGGGTGTACATGGCCCATGGTCTCAATACAGGTGAGAGCACCATCGCGTGATCATTTTATCAAGACTTCTTCGGAATATACATCTTTTCAGTTATTAAGTTATGTGATATCTGAAGCCTACATTGGAGATCATAGAATATCGGACACCATTCTGCTCCATTTGCATTCCGCTCCTATAATTGACTAATTTCTTTGGATGGAGCAGGTTGGCAGTCTAAAACTGCTGCTATGAATGGTAAGCTGTATGCTGTTGGCGATTCACATTCACTTGAAGGAAAGAATGAAATCTCTGTGTACAATGGGAAGAAGGACTCCTGGGAAACAATCAAGGGAGTTCTGGAGGATTCTGCTCCTGTTTTGGCCTGGGGCCCAGAGCTTGCGAGTCTTGGTGGAAAGCTTTGTATTGTTGGTACAGGTTTGCAACCTCGGATAGGAGCAAACCGAGCAGCTGTTGCTTTTGTAGAGGTGAGCAATTCCAAGACAGAGCCTGCAAAATTGTCTGCCTCACTGAAGTTTTACGAAGATATAAGTGGCAAAATTCAGTTCGCTGATCCACTGCCGCGGGGCGCATGCCAAGTCTTGGCGCTGTGATGGTAGATCTTGTACAGTCGGAGTGGAACTTTCTACTACCGTCCAGTGGGAAATAGTTCGATCTCAGGTCCCATCTTACTCATGCCTTGAGTTATTTCGTGGACCTCCATTTCTTTCCCTGTTTCTGATAGGTTTCGGAAGCAACATTGTTTTGGAACTGTCAATATCTGGAGTAATTGCCAAGTTCTTGTAGATGTGTTCACTGAAGGCAACTTAATGCTTCCGATTCAGCTCTTGAACTTAGTTCAGAAACTTTTGTAATTTAAACATCTTTTCCCTCTGTTAGGGTTATGACCAATCTGATCGAACTATTTCAAAACATTTTTGTTCTCTCTGGCTGGGGTCTGTTACATAATTCAAGCAACAATCACATATTACACTCTTTCTCATTCAAAAAACTAGTCGGAAAATTTCATTTTTCAATTTTGGATGGACAACACATCCCTGAAAGGTTCTGCTGTTTTCTCCTAAATCTATGATAAGCACTCGAGCCGATAATTGTGCTCAAATTGAACTAGATGGACCCAGTCTTTTGTTTGCAACATAGGGATATATGAGCACACCATCAATTCCATCGTGCATACGCTGTCGCTTAAACTATTTAGAATCGGACTTGCCGACAATCATACAGGTCATTGAAAAGATTCCTTAGCGTTGTAAGTAGCTTTGCAGTCACACATTTAACCCAGTGGTCATAAACTAAACGTTTAGCATCAGCAAAAAAGAATACAGGAGTAGGCAGTTGGATTCACATTGGCTTGGGCATCAATGCCATAAGCTATACAAACCATACTGTTAATTAGTGACAACACCAAGAGAGTGAAGGGCATATTCCCCACGCTACTATCTGTTATCACTTGAGCCTAGTAGGGTGAGCATGCAGGGTGATGGTTGCATGCAAACATTTGTCTCTATTGCGCAGGATTATCTTTAGGAAAATGCTGGCTCTATGGTCGTGAAACCGCTGTTAATCAAGAGCCAACAAAGTACCACCGAGTTCATGAACGAGTTGGTTGTGGTGACAGCCATGTTGTACCTTAATCTGGTAAATCCTTAAGGCTGTTATGTTCGTGAAGATCAGAGGCTTCTAGTGTGCGAATACTTCGATGACAACAATCTGGCAAGCCATTTGTTTTGCCAAGGGAGTACTCATCAAATTCCTATCACTACAATACTTGATGAAATTCCTATGGACGACAATCTGAGGAAAAATCATTACCTTCACCATCAGATCTAATGGGAAAGACTTGACCCTTCGACTGGCCAGCACGGTATGATGTGTGCTTCGGCGTGGCCACGAACTTACACTGCCTGCACACTTCAGCTGATTCGAGGATCATTTACAGAGACATCAAAGCAGGCAACGCCTTGTTGGACAAAGACTTACTCTCAAAAACAACAGATTTTTGCTGGGCCGTATTACAAATTGATGTAATACGTCTATATAGTGAAACTATAATCAAAATTGATTTTCTAATTAATATCTAATTATCTTGATTTAATAATAATTCAAGGTATCTAAACATGGCTTTTATAAAAGCCTCTTAGATTATTTTCTTATCTTAATAATTAGTAGGTTGAAGATTGGTTAATACTTTTACCTTCTAGATTGTAGAGACTTTTTTTATTATCATAGAAAGACCATAAATTGATAAAATCAGATTAGAAGAGATAAATAATTAATATGGTTGATACTAAGGTTAAGTTGAGGATAGGGTTGGGCTAAAAATCCTTAGAATAGGTTAGATTGATACCCGGGGGTTGACCATTTGTGAGACAGGGTCAAAATCAGACCTCTAGCTACTAAAACAATCGCCTAGGATAAAACAAGTTTTCATTTGAAGATCAGAGATTAAGATTTGAAAGCTAAGTAAGAGCTTGTTTCAAAGACATAAGGTTGGTTTTCGTAGGAATTGTTGAAACTTGGTAATTGTTGTTGAAAGTCAAGATTTATATTGGCAACTTGGGATTTATGTAATGAAATTAGAACTAGCACTTTTGGCTAGTTCTTAAATTTGGTGTCACATCTATAGTTTAAATTTTGACAGTGCTTGGTTAATTAGGTGTTCTAAGTGTATGTAAAATTTTGTAATAATCCAATAGTGCAATTGAGAGATATTTGGATTTTGGTACAAGAACATATTAGAAATTGGCAGTTTGGGGTTGGATAGGGTTTCTATGTTATCTAAAGATCTATTAGTTAGATCAAGGTGAAATTTGGCATGATATTAGAAGACTTAAAGATCAAACTATATACCAATGTTGAATTGAAGTTAATAGTTGGAGAAAGAGAAATTAATACTAGAACTTATGCATCACCTTTCAAGTTGGCAACCAAGTAATATTAGTGCAATTTTTGCAGATTTTATCACAATTTGTATGTTGGATTGGCTTGAAATTTCTTGAGCATATAGAAGACTTACATTGATAATTACATGCAAAATTTCACATCAAGTAGACAATCAAATTAGAAGTTATAGCTTGTCAAAGCTTACTGATTTAGATGGAAGGTATTGGATTGTATTTGTGGTGATTTGGAATTGATGGCATAAGAAGGTAAGAAGGTTGAATTTGGTATCTTTGATGGAGCTTTAGATAGAGCTATAAGTGGAACTTCAAGTAGAGCTTCAAGTGAATTTTCTACTCATGAACAAGGTATGTACTTTGATCCAAATACTGCAAAAATATTTTAAGCATTTACATTATTTATGCAATAGTAATAGGGCAATGATTGCAAAGACGCTTTGGCAACCAAAGCATTGCAAGAGGTGGTTAACAAGATTGAACAATTTTATGGGAGGAATATTTCTAAATATTTAAGATGTCATATGCGGAAAATAAAATTGAATTGCGTTTTTGAGAAGGGGATGATTCAATTATTTGAGCTTGCTATGGTACCAGAGATAAGAAAGCATATGAGGTCTATTATGGGACAATTTGAAAATTCATGGGAGATATTTTTACATACATTGAAGGATGAGTATTTTTTGGAGGATATTGATCAAATTACTAAGAAATCATTCTTAGAATGGATTGAAAACCTTAACAAAAATTATGCAAGCTACAGAATTATTAAGAAAATTTGAAAGGTAATTTTTAAAATTTTTAAAATTGAAAAAATTAACATTGGAACCAATTAAGGTTGAATTCATTTTTCAAGCTATTGATGAAGAATTATAAGAAAAATTAGAGGTTCTTCTTAAAGACAAGGAAGGAGATGAAGGATTGACAACAAAGTAGAAGGCTGTTGAAGATGCTATTGGATTGCTTGCCAAAAAAGAAAGGAGAAAGGATAGCGTTGGTGCTTGAAGATTGTTACAAGTACCAAAGATTAAAATTCCTACTATATGATTGACTGTGCCTATTGTCCAACCTCCACTTGCTACACGAAAAAAAGAAGATGTGGAACTTGAGGAGATTGTACGTGGGATGCAAGATCTTCAAATCAAACTTGCAAGGCTTGAGGAAAAGACTTCTATAACAAGTTCAAAGGCTACTTATAAACAAGGATATGTGCAAAGATGTATTTGGTGTAATAATGATTCTTATTCTCAAAAAAATTGTGATGAATTCTATGAGATGGTACAACAAGACATTATTTATTGGAAAGATGGAAAATTTGCATTGAAGGATACTGGTGATCTTTTCCAAACCAAATTTGATAAAAGAGGTATGAAAGTATCAGTTAAAGATTATTTGGCAAAACGTGGGATTGCAACAATGGAAGCTACAAGTTATGGAACTAGGGTGGATAATAATAACAGATAGAATTTTGTTGGAACTGTTCAATCAAGTGGACTTTAGTCTTCTGCCATTTCTACAATGCAAAAAGAGAAGATGCCATAGGAAGCTTTGTTGAGAACTGTTGTAATAATTTGTGGTGCTACAGGTTGAAAGGATCCTATAGAAGCTTTGTCAATACATGCATATATTGCTAAAAGCCAACATGAAGCTTTAATAGAAAAAAAGAGGAGAAGAAATTTTGATGATACAAGAGAAAGAAATTCTTCTAAAAGGTAAACTTGAGGAGATAAGACTCATATAGCAGCTTCACAAGAATTTTCCACAAAAGATACTTCAACAATATTAAAAGAAAAAAAAAAAGAAAAGAAAAGAAGAAGATAAAAATAAAGGTGAATTGATAATTTACAAACTATTCTGTGATATTGAAGTGACAATAGATTTAAAGGAAGTGCTTGAGGATCGTGTGCTCAATGCAAAGGTTGAGTTTACATTGAAAGAGATTTTAGGAATTGCTAAGAAAGAATTCAATGATGTCATTGTTGATAGTATTAAATACAAGAGGCAATTAATTGAAGAAGCTGGATTAAATCATGCTATTGATGTACACATATATGAGGGTGAAGAAGATATATTTGATAATTGTTACAAAAAATTAACAAGTGAAGGAAGGAATCATAATCAAAGAGTATGTTTTGATGATAAAAATAATAAAAATAGAGAGGTTTCAAGTCATTATACTTGGAAGCATTGGACTAAAACAACTACAAAGATATTAGTGAAGATTGGAGATATGGATGAGCTAGTTGTTGCTTTAATTGACTACAATTCAAAAATAAATCTAATATCTAAGGATCTTTAGATGAAGCAAAGGTGGCCAATTGATATGAAGCATGGATGGACAATATATGCAACCAATAATATACGAGGTGAGTTATGTAGTGCTTGCCTAGATGTGAAAATTTGGATTGATAATGTTACAATGGAACAAAATTTCTTTGTTCAAGATACAACCCCTCATCATCTTATTTTAGGGCAATCATATATTATTGCAACTCAAATAGAAACAAAAGTATTTGATGATGGTTTAACTTATACACGAATTTGTAGTGAGGATGAGAGCAAGGCAATATAATTTTTGACTATGCCTCCAAATAATGAGCACAATCAAGACAAATTGAAAGAAAATCCATTACCAAAGGTTGTTGAAGAATTCAAGGATTTTTTGAGAGTAGTGCTATAAAGTAAGATTATAGAGGTATAGAAGGAGAAGTACTCTTGCAAGATATAGGTACCTTTGATAGAGGATTTATTGGTATTTTTGATAATAGAAGTATTATGTATAAGAAGATTGAAGACTTAAAAAGAAAAGAAAGAAAGGAATTGTGTCCTATTGAAAAAAAATTATGTGGATTAAGAATATTAGAAGATAATGAAAAGATTATCAGTATTTATGAAAAAAATGGACTGGAGGATTCTTTGGAATTGATTGCATCTATTGGATTAGGTAACAATGATAAAATTATACCAATTCATTCAAGAAAAGTTTATGATATGATTGATTTTTTTCAAGCATTAGAGGTTATAGTTGAGATAAAATATAAGATAGTAGATATGAAGGTAAAATCCATTATTG